CAATTATTGTTCCTGAATTGAAGGTGAGAAATCTGCTGTACAGAGTCAGTAGCTGAGCAGTTTAAAATTCACTGGAAATCTGATGTGCTGTAATATCTGTGCTACATTTGTCACCTGACTATTCCTAAAACAAACCCATCCATGGCACAGCTGCAGGTTAAGGATTAACCACCCTTATTCTACCTGGGGAAATGAGGGTCTGAGACTGGAGTTGTTCTGGGATGAATTTGTATAGCTGGAAAAGCAGAAATGGCTTAGCTCAGCTGAAGGTATTACACAATATCCAATGATTTATTATTTTTTTAATGCAGGATTTGGATAAAAAGCTTGTGAAGTTAAACAGACGGATACAAGAGGATGAGAGAATCTCCTCCAACCCCATAGTGAAGATCGTGTATGGGGACCCAGCTGCATTCCTGTCCCAGCTGCCAAGGGACAGCCACATCCACCACTCCAGGATGTGGAGCTGCCGCAGGAGAGTCTCCGTGGAGAACCTGGGCCACGTTGTGCAGCAGAAGAATGCCAGGGACACTGTCCCTCTCCTCTGGAAGTTCCTGCAGAAGGTGGGGGTGGCTCAGGGATGTGAGCCTGGGATTGCCAGAACCACGTTTGGACTACCCAGTTTCTTTATTCTCAGTACTTGCTGTGATCTTGAGAATGAACATGGAATATATTGTTGTCTTTTAAACATTTAAGAAGTAATTCCATAAAAGTATTCCCAAGTGGTTTGTCCATGCACAGCCTTACCCACAGGTTCCCTTTCCTCTTCCAGGAAACTGAGCTGAGGCTGGTGAAATTCTTGCCAGAGATTCTGGCTCTGCAGAGAGATTTGGTGAAGCAATTCCAGAACACAGCAGAGATCAAACACTGCTCCATCAGGGAATTCCTCAGGGAGCCCCACTCAGGTGAGCAAACTTTGCCAAAATTGTCATTAATGAAACAGAAAGTGCTGGATTGTTGAAAGTGAAGGGGAAAACTCACCTTTTCCTTTTAACTCTCACCTGAATGAGCTGCAGACCTGGGTAGGGTTGGAAAAGTTACCAGATGACTTTAAAGGGAGTTAAGTATAGGTTTTTTTATGAGGGGTGGGAGCTCTGTGCAGTGCAGCAGTGGTTCTGTTGGCATTTTAAGCTCAGCCCTAGAGCTGGGCTTGCCTAAAGAGTGGAATAAACGTCCTTCCCTTCCTTTCATGAAGTTTGTGGCAACTCCTTCAGTTGTATTTAAGTACAATTACTGATGTTTTTAAAGTACTTATGGAAAGGTACATGAAGGTCATGCAGAATCAGACCAAGGGGTAATCCATGCTTGTGGCCTGGCTAAGAGCAGACAATAATGGAAAAATAACGAACTGAGCAAATGGCTCTGATAGCTTTAGGAAGGTGTTTGGTGTCTGTTCAGTCTCTTGGGCAGTTGGAATAGTTGCCTGGAGTTCAGTGGTGTGCTCTGAAGATCCTTGTATTGGAGAGTTTCACCAGGAAAAGGTATTTAATGGATTTATCTTTGTTTCTCAGATGTGATGAGGGCCCTGTTAGAGAGGAGAGTGAATGTGTTTCTGTCTGTCTGGAACAAGCTGAGAAGGTCCCTGGACACCAATGGTGAGCAGCTTCTTCCCAGCCCTGCTCCTGCACTGCTCCTCGTTCTGAGTTCAGGTTCCTCCCATCACTGATGCTGAGGCATGTCCTCAAAACTGAGCTTGGCCATTGAATTTTAAGAATCTAGGTACAAGGGGAAGAATTTGTTTCCCTCTTGTAGCACTGTCACCTGAACTTGTTCCCTTTCGTGCTTGTCCCTAATGCCGAGCTCAGCTTTTCTCGGGCTCGGTGCCTCCTCCTGCCCTGGCTCTGGGCCTCCTCAAACACTCCTGTCTGTATTTCAGGGGAAATTAAGCTGCCTAAAGGCTACTGTGATGCTGATCTGAGCGTGGACAGCAGGCTGGAGGTGCTGCTGCCGCGGCGGCGGGGGCTGGGGCTGTGCTCCACGGCGCTGGCCAGTTACCTCATCGGGCTGCACAACGACTTGGTGCACTCTGTGCACCGGCACACCAAGGAGGATGACAGGTGTGCTGCTCCTCCGCTCCTTGGGCTCTGCTGCATTTCCTGCTCCCTCTCGGCCAGCTCTGCTCCACAGAGGCCTGTCCCTCTGAGCAGAGCCCCTTGGCTCCCTGCAGGTACCTGATCAGCCCCTCGGAGGTGGCCGACCTGCACCTGATCAGTTACGAGGTGGAGAGGGACCTGATCCCTCTGATCCTGTCCAACTGCCAGTACAGCATGGAGAAGGGAGGGGAGACCTTGCAGGACTTTGATCTGGAGAGGATCCAGCAGCAAGTGATCAGCAAGTTCCTGCAGGGGAAGCCACTGATCACGCTGACGGTAGGACAGGCAGGGGCTGTGCAGCCAGGAGGGCGCTGGCAGCAGTGGTCCAGTGCTCACACCCATGGGCATCCTTCTCTCCTGACAGGGAATCCCCACCCTGGTGTACAGACACGACAGGAACTATGAGCAGCTGTTCAGTGATGTCAGGAGTAAGCTGGAGCAGGTGGGTTTCTGCACTGCAGGAAGCAGGGCAAGCATGAAATCCCTGCTTTTCCAGGGCTTTTCTGTCCCTTGCCTTGTCCTTGCAAAGGCTTGCCTGCTCATTTCTCAGCATGCATTGGTTACATGCAATCTGGCCTTGTGCTGTCAGTCAGGATTTACAAAGAAAAGGGAGATAGTTCAGCACTTCAGTTTCCTAAATCTGGGGATCTCCATGACTTGAGCAATTTAAACAGGAAAAGGAATGGCTCTAAAATCATATTAACTGTGAGTTTGTGGTTTTCAGAGTGCTCTTCCCAGTTCTGTGATGAACATGATCAGTGGGGAGCTGCAGTCCTACAGTGACGTGTGTGATGCTCTGTCCCTCACTGAGATCACCCTGGGCTTCCTGGCCATGGCTGGTGAGAATGCTGAGATGCTGCTGACTGAGTACATTGAGCAAGTCCTGCAGATGGGGGATCAGACAAACCCTCACGTGCTGCAGGTGAGTCCTGAGGGCAAAGCCCAGATCCCTACAGGATAAAATCTGCCCTGGTTTCTGCTAGAATCCAGCCTGTGTGACAGAGCCCTCTCTCTCTCCCAACTGCTTGTTGTGATATTAAAAACTGGATTATTGAGGGCAGATGGGCCCCACCCAGGCTAAGGGGCTGGATGAGCTGTGTGCTGAGCTCTCTCTGGGCAGGGCAGGCTGGGGAAAGGCTCCAAGGACATCCCTCACATGCACAGATGTCCTTCTCTTCCAGGCCCTCAGACGGTGCCAGCTCAAACACAGCCTGGCCCTGTGGCAGCTCCTGTGTGCCCACAAATCTGAGCAGCTGCTGCGCCTCGGCAGGGTATGGAACCCCCCTCACCCCATCTGACCTCATCTGTTCTGCTCTGCTCCTGCTCAAATGTGTGTGTGGGTTTTTCCTCCCCTTGCTGCATTTTTAGGATCCTTTTGCAGACATCAATCCAGACTACAAAGAAGAGCTCACCCCAGAGCTTGCCAAGGTCTTGCACACCTTCCTGGTCCACTCCAGGCTGGAAACCTTCCTGCAGGAGCTCCATGAAATGATCATCCTGAAGCTGAGACGTGTCCAAGCTGTGGAGGAATTCAAACCCATGTGGAGGTAGGAGTCACACACCCAAAGCCAACAATTGATGTTAACTGAAGCTTCCCTGCCTCTGAGCATGCACACAATGGGAACGTGTCCTTGGCAGCATGAGGAACATCCACACTCATTTCTAGCAGGTGGCACTTCCATCTCACACAGGCTCTCTTGGGGATACTGCTGGAACACTCCAGGAGCTGCTGTCCAGGGCACAAACACAAGCACTTCTGCAGAGGCACTTGGATAAAATAACAACAGAATCACAAACTCATTAAGGCTGGAAAAAAAAAAACAAAACAGGGATCATCAAGCCCAGCCTTCAGGGATAGGCACACTCAGCTCTGCACAGGCACAGCTCGGCCCCAGAGCTCAGCCCTGCCCTGCAGCCTCCCCTTGCTGGGCTCTGTTTAACCCTTCTCACTGCACATACACCTGTACAATGGTGGATATTGAGTATTTTGGGTGTGTTTAACCCTTCTCACTGCACATACACCTGTACAATGGTGGATATTGAGTATTTTGGGTGTGTTTAACCCTTCTCACTGCACATACACCTGTAAAACAGAGGATATTGAGTGTTTTGGGTGGTGCAGTGCACTCAGACTTGTGGTTTGCTGTACCCCAGCTGTTAATGCTATTCTGCTCTGTCTTCCAGCCTGAAGGAATCACTCGTGCCTTACCTTGATGCCAAAGACCCTGAATTAGCTCTGGAGGTGGAGTACACATTCCCAGATGAGATTCTTCTGTCTCATGTCACTGGTACCTGGAAGGCAGCTGCTGTCTTCAAGCGAGAGCACAGGGAGAGTTAGGGCAGGACCTTGACAACACCCGCGATGGGGTTCTGGAACTTTGGGCATTTCTTTGGGGCTTGCTGGTTGTTCTTTGGGTTTGGGGTTGTTGCTTTTACACCCGATGTGAAGAGTAGGAGGGTGAAATAGACCCAGCAACTCTGAGTGAACCCTGGATCGCCACAGCCCCAGAGCCACTGGAGGAACATGAAGGACTTTTTCTGCAAACCATTTTTACAAATCACGCAGGTGCCGTCGTGCTGGGAACAGGGTTTATGTTTCCAGCCTGCCCTTCTGCTGGCAGGGGCTGTCAGCACCGGCTGCAGACCCGGCTCCGGCCCGGGAGGAGGCAGCGCTGAGGGCCGGGGCTCGGGGCTCCTTCCCTGCCCTCAGCCCGCCCCGGGCCGGCTTCTCCCCGCTCCCGCTTCCCAATAAACTCGTTCAGCTCCCGCGGCTGTTCCTGGCTCTTTCCGCGATCGGGGCCGGGGATCGGGGCCGGTGTCGGGGCCGCCGCCGGGGCCGCCGTGCCGGAACGGCCGCGCTCGGCCGCGCTTTCCGGGGGACGGCGGCGCTGCGGGCCCGGTGCCGCCATGGCCGCGTCCCCTGCGCGGCAGCGCCGCTGGAAACGGTAACGGGGCTGGGGCTGGGACCGG